AGGGGTCCTCAAACTATGGCCCGTGGGCCACATGCAAATACAAATATTGTATTTGTTCCCGTTTTGTTTTTTTACTTCAAAATAAGATATGTGCGGTGTGCATAGGAATTTGTTCATAGTTTTTTTTTAAACTATAGTCCGGCCCTCCAACGGTCTGAGGGACAGTGAACTGGCCCCCTGTTTAAAAAGTTTGAGGACCCCTGTTCTAACCTGGCTGAGAGTTGTACGCCCCAGGACATGGGAATTAACATCGGAATGCAGTCCATTCTCCTTTTCCAGGAACCGCCTTTCATCATGGAAAGGTTAGCAACCTTGTTGCTGAAGCAATCTGGTCCCTTTGCGACCCCCAGCCCGCATTGCCCTTAACCTTGCCTACTTCCCCATGCTTCTAATTCCTACTTTCCTCTGTAATCTTTGTCCTTCTACCCCACATAAGCAGCTGGCATACTCCCATACTGCCGGCATTATTGCAATAAACACTCATATATGATTCAGCACTGTCTCTGCTTAACTGGCTCAGGTAGTGACAGGCAGCCCGGACCCATTGGTTGCCCAGTTTCTGTTCCAGAGCACCACAGCGAAGGGATTTGTGGTCTTCTTGCTGGTGGAGGGTGTTGACTTCAATATGTAAAGAACTGAACATCTGTGAAGCTCAACAAAGCGAAGTGCAACACAGTGAGGTACGCCAATACGTTTATGTTTATTATCATGTGTTTACTCTGTGGGTTTTGTTGTTGTTGTTGTTGTTTGTTTGTTTTACTGGCTTCTTACTAATAATTTAGAAAAATTCATTTTCAGCCCTTCATCTTTAATATAAGTATTTAAGGCTATGAGAATTTTCTTCAAGCCCTGCTTTTGCTGCATGCCACAAGTTTTGATATATAGTGTTTTCTTACCATTTGGTTCTAAATATTTCTGTTGAAATTTATCACTATGAACCTGTAGTGTACCTATCTGCCAAATTGTGTGATTTTCCCCAGTAGCCTGAGTGTAGGTACAGAAAAAGTGGGAAATTAAGGCCGATCCAGGCTTGGGGTTTTTCCAGGAAAGCACATGCCAACCACTGCATCTAATTTCATACCCCACATCTCATGTTCTCTAATTAGGCAGTCTTTCTTTCATGAGAGGCTGTCTCTCATTACATTTGCTTCGTTATGCTACTGCATCCATACACATATCCATCACTCAATGTCATTGCCTAAATTGACTGCTGCTACTGTGGGCCAGGGGAGTTTCTTGGGGGACTGCAAGAGATGGAGATGGGAAGGGGACAAGGCAATTAATAGGCAGCTAGAGCTTGAGTTGGCAGAAGTGGCCAAGCATGTCTTTAAGAAAGTGGAAGTGCTGCCCTTGATGGTTTGACTCAGTGGATAGAGCATTGGCCTGGGGGCTGAAGGGTCCCGAATTTGATTCCAGTTAAAGGCACAGGCAGGGTTGCAGGCTTGGTCCCCAGCAGGGGGTGTGCAGGAGGCAGCCAATCAATGATTATCTCTCATCATTGATGTTTCTGTCTCTCCTTTTCCCTTCCTCTCTGAAATCAATAAAAATATATCTATTTTTTAAAAGTGGACGTGCCAACATTAAATTTAATTAACCTGGCATTCGGAGCTATCATGTAATCCCGCCTTTCAGTTACCCACAAGCACTCAGTAAGTCTGCTAGATCCATAATTATACTGGAGTCTTTGGTTATGCTTATTTCTCTCATTTACATATGGAAGCAATAAGGCACTAGGCCAGTGATGGCGAACCTTTTGAGCTCGGCGTGTCAGCATTTTGAAAAACCCTAACTTAACTCTGGTGCCGTGTCACATATAGAAATTTTTTGATATTTGCAACCATAGTAAAACAAAGACATATTTTTTATATTTATTTTATATATTTAAATGCCATTTCACAAAAAAAAAAATCAACCAAAAAAAATGAGTTTGCGTGTCACCTCTGACACGCGTGTCATAGGTTCGCCATCACTGCACTAGGCAATTAAAATCACATGGCAATTACCACCTAGCTCAGTGTTTTTGTTTTTGTTTTTTCACCTAGCTCAGTTTTTATTTCATTAAACACACCATGTCCCTCTCTGGTCTCACAGGCCAGGCTCAGAAGTAGGCAAATTAGGCAGCTACCTACTTAAAGATTTGGAAGATGCTAAAACGTCTCTACCTAAAAATGCCTCTGTCACATGTAATGCTAATTCTACACACTCCCCAATGGCCTCTTTGAAAAGATACAGCCTTTCCAACACACTTAAGGTATGAGGTTACCTGAGAGGGGTTATTTATTAGCTAACTAATTAGTCTGTCATGGAAGCCACCTGCCTCCAATATCACCCAGAACAGAGGAGGGGCCTGAAGAATGACACCAAGGATGATCTGATTTGATGAATTAAGGGAGTAGATAGAGAAGATGGAAGTGGAGTTAGGAATTAAGGGAGTAGGTAGAGCAGATAGAAGTGGAGTTAGGAATTAAGGGAAGGTGCTAAGAAAGTTGACTTGGGGTGCCGGGTTGGGGAGAAGGAATAAAGGAAAGGAAAATCCATAACTTGAAGCAACTTTAAGGAAGGCAAAACCCTTGTTCAGCCTAGGGACTTAGAGACACACACATCTCTAAGAGAAAAGGTTTTAAAAAGAGGAGCAGGTGGGGAGTTAGTGTTTAATGTGTACGGAGTTTTAGTCGGAAAAGATGAAAAAGATGGTGTGAATGTATTTAATGCCATAGAATTGTACACTGAAAATATGTGCACTGCAGATAGATGCTAGCTAGACCATCTGTGAGGGAAATGGGGAAGGCAGGCAAGGCTGTTTTCACTAATCCTTTGCCTTAGATCAGTGGTTCTCAACCTTCCTAATGCCGCGACCCTTTAATACAGTTCCTCATGTTGTGGTGACCCCAACCATAAAATTATTTTCGTTGCTACTTCATAACTAATTTTGCTACTGTTATGAATCGTAATGTAAATATCTGATGTGCAGGATGTATTTTCATTGTTACAAATTGAACATAATTAAAGCATAGTGATTAATCACAAAACAATATGTAATTATATATGTGTTTTCCGATGATCTTAGGCGACCCCTGTGAAAGGGTCGTTCGACCCCCAGAGGGGTCTCGACCCACAGGTTGAGAACCGCTGCCTTAGATGGTACAGTGGCCTTCAAGGTGGATCCAATGATCCTCATCGCCTAGAACTCACTCTCATGTATTATCTCCTTCCGCACTGGCTAGGGCTAACCTGGCTAATAATAGGATGCAGCAGAAATGACCTTCCAAGACTAGGTCATAAAAAACATTGGAGCTTCCACCTGGTTCTCTCTTGGGTCTCTTGCTCTGGGGGAAGTGAGCTACCATGTGGGGAGGACACTCAAGTAGCCTTTGGAGAAGTCCAGGGGTGGGACACAGGCCTCTAGTTGACAGCCAGCACTCACCCACCAACCAAGTGAGGAGCCAGCCACCCAGGAAGCAGATCCTCCAGCAGCCCCAGCCCATATCTGGACGGCAACTTCATGACAGAGCCTAAACCAGAACCACCCAGCTGAGCCTCTCCCAAACTCCTGACTCACAGGAACTGTGAGGTAAGGTCTATAGTTGTTTTAAGCCACCACGTTTTGGGGTGGTCTGTTCCACAGAACTTGATAACTAATCCAGGCAGCATGAGGATCCTTCATCAGCTGCCTGGGGCTGGTGTTGTCCAGTCATTCCTATATCTCCATTTGATTCTGGGATTATATCACAGCTACTTACAGATATTCTGTGACACCAGTTAAAGCTGCACTTACCTTTATATGTTTTGAATACGCAGCAGGTGACTTAAAAACTTCAGCCAAGATTGGAGTGGCATTGCTGAATTTCAGACAGTTAAGGGTAGGGAGAGCTGTTTTTACATAATACACCTTGTCTAATAATGTAAATACTGTAGTTAAAATGCTTAAAAACCTGAAAGCAGGTCAGTGTTTTAAATCATGTTATTTCTTTAAATATATTTGTACAAAAAAGGGGGAGGCAGCCGGGCTGGTGTGGTTCAGTGGTTGAATATTGGTCCATGAGCCAGGAGGTCATATTTTGATTCCCAGTCAGGCACATGCCTGGGTTGCAGGCTCGATCCCCCAGTAGGGGGCGTGCAGGAAGCAGCCAATTAATGATTCTCTCTCTTTGATGGTTCTATCTCCCTCTCTCTAATATCAATAAAAATATATTTTTAAAAGGGGAGGAGGCAAGTAAATTTAAAAAGGCATGAAAGAAAGGAAGGAAGGGAGGGAGGGGAGTGGGGAGGACAAGAGGGGGAAGGAAAGAAGAGAGAGAGTCAGTTTAAGAACTTCGTTAGGACCAAGTTCTCCTGGCTCTGTGTGTGTACCTACCTAGAATTCTAATCTCTGCATCGGTGAGCCTCCAGTTCTTCAGCCCAAGTTTGACGAGTTGTGGGGCCCCCTCCAGTTGCTCCAGCAGCCTGGTCAGGCTGACGCGCACATCAGTGCACCAGGGCAGCATCAGCACAGTGAGCTGTTCCAACACGTGCAGCCTGTCAACTTGAGGAACCAGAGACAGTTCAGAAACTGGATCCATCTCAAAACTGATGAAGGACGAAGTGATAAAGGAGAAGGAGTGGTCTTTCTCTCTGCAGCCTACTCAATGTGCAGTGAGAATCAACTCACTTTTTGGTTAGTATTTTATGGAAAGTGTTCAAGAATATATAAACACTATGCAGGACAGTATAATGAAGCTGTGAGTACTAAAGTTGGTGTCAACTTTTAACGAACAGAAAATCATGGATGTTTGCTTTATCCTCAACAAATTCCTTCCCTCCTGTCTTATTCCGAAGTAAATCTCAGACAGTAAGTATCAGGGTTTTTTTTTTTTGTTTTTTTTTTAGTATCAGGTTGTTGTTTTTTTTAAAACAATCAGGATGTCTTGATCACATCTTAAAAATCTTATTACTAACTCCTTGAGCCAGTTTGTCTTAAGCATCCCCTACTCTCAGACACTGGCTCTATAGAAGGAGGCAAGCAGGTGGGAGCCTCAGGTGCAGTGAGCATGTGAAAACTGGTGACTCAAAAGCCGTGGCCTGTGTTCCTTAAGGGCAGTTTAAGAAAGGGCTACCTGACTTCCTTAAGGTGCATCTCCAAGGCAAAATGGTCATTCTTACTCAGTTCACTCAGAGCTTCATTTCCATCCTCTTCCAGGTGATTCTCAGATAAATCAAGGATGCTCAGTTTGGCCAAATTGTGAAGATTCTGAGCTGGAAAAAAAAATTTAATCCAAAAGAAAAAGACTATCAGGGAACTATATATGCATTTAAAAATATCCTTATATGAATTCTGAGCCCTTGTCTTCTTTGTTGAGAGTGTACGAATCATCAGGGAACTATATATGCATTTAAAAATATCCTTATAAGAATTCTGAGCCTTTGTCTTCTTTATTGAGAGTATACGAATCTTTATTAGATTTGATTAGCTATTATCAAAAGTATCTGGCTACTCCCATGACTGTGACCAAATGGACAGATATTTCCTGGTCTTAAGTTCTGACTAATAAACTTCAGCCTAAAGGCAAAATGGTCATTATTACTCAGTAAAGCCTAAAGCAGCATGGACTAGAGTTGTTATGTCACTATAGGAAAGTCACTCCATTTCTCTACGCCTCCGTGTGTCTTCATCGTTAGAATGGGGAAGATGAACTAGAGGAAATCTGAGGTTGCTTCCAATTCTTAAATGCTCTTCACATGCAGGAGAGATGAAGGAGCGAAAACCAATGAGATGAGCTGTTCTTTGTGTACCTCAGTTTAGATTATTTTGGTAGTTATAGTTGTGATGTTAATAATAAAAATTTTAATAAGAACATTAGTCACAAAATGCCACCGCTCTAGCTAAGAGCTGCTTAGTTATTTTCTTCACTACAGATACAGGTACTTGCCCCCTTTCCAAAGTTCAATTATGCCACTTCGCTAACTGAAAGAAATCCAAAGAGGATTTTCGCCTTGCTTTTACCAAAAAAAAAGGCGAAAAGCAAAAATAGCGTTCACTGTTTGTTTTGCAGAGAGCCTTATAGAAGCATCCAGAGTGGCGCAGCCAAGCTCCTTCCTGGGAAGTACACTCTGCATTTCAGCATCAAACCGCCAGAGCTTTGAGCTGTGTCTGTGAGCATCTGTGCTTTATCTTGATTTATTGTGCACCTGTTAGCAAGTGTGTCCTAAGGTATAAGAAAAGCCTAAGAGAAGTCATTTTGGAGTCTGGGAATGCTCGAAAATGTTCCATAAAGATCAATGGTAATTGCTTATTTGCTTAATGCCCTATTAGCTTATTGAAGGTTTCATAGGGCCCAGCCAGTGTTGCTCAGTGCCTGAGCATCGACCCATGAACCAGGAGGTCATGGTTTGATTCCAGGTCAGACACATGCCTGGGTTGCGGGCTTGATCCCCAATGGGGGGTGTGCAGGAGGCAGTCGATTAATGATTCTCTCTCATCATTGATGTTTCTATCTCTCTCCCTCTCCCTTCCTCTCTGAAATCAATAAAATATATATTTTTTAAAGTTATAAACTATTTATTTTAAAAAGAGGTTTCTTAGGAATGCTCTACTTTCTGATTGTGAGGACACCTGTATTTATCATGGTTGCTTAATCTAGTTGAAGCTTTTCCTATCAAGACTGATTAGAAAAATCTCCTTTAAAAAATTAGTCGTTTTGCATGAATTATACTCTTGTTACAATACTAGCTATTATTTTTTTAAATCAATCCTATGAATCCTTTTCTTAGAGTAAAATATATTCTGAAGTTTGGTGCTTTAAAAAGCCCATGGATTCCACCTAAAAAGGGGATGGTTGCTATTGTTAGTTCCAAGCCTGGCTCCTCCCAGTGGCAGGTGGAGAGTAAGGGAGTGTGCTCTTCGTTCTCATGTTCCCAGTGCTTGCTAGCCTTCTCCAATCATGGATTTCTCTAGTTTTTGATTCATATTAGCATATAAGTAATCTCAGTAATTCCGACAGACTCCATCAGTCCTTTTTCTTCTTTTTTGTTTGTTTTTGTGTGTGTGTTTTTCTTTTCCCCATCAATTTTATATATTTTTAAAATATATTTTATTGATTTTTTACAGAGAGGAAGGGAGAGGGATAGAGAGTTAGAAACATCGATGAGAGAGAAACATCCATCAGCTGCCTCCTACACAACCCCCACTGGGGATGTGCCCGCAACCAAGGTACATGCCCTTGACCAGAATTGAACCTGGGACCCTTCAGTCCACAGGCCGACGCTCTATCCACCGAGCCAAACCGGCTAGGGCTTATATTGTTTGTTTGTTTTTTAAAAAGGTTATACTATTTCCCCCCAAAATCTAAATTTAAGAAACATCATAGTTTAACATAATCCAGTTTATCCACTAATATGCAAAGGTTTTTTTCATACTTAGTATGCACAATCTTTGGGAACTCAAATACTCAATGCCTATGTTAATGCACGTTAACTCTATCTTAACCGGGCAATGGGGAAAAATTAGAAGGCCTGACCGCATTTAAGGAAATCCCTCTCTCTGCTTCTCAACCATTTATTTATTCATCCATCCAAATACTTATTAAGCAGTTATTATATAACAGGACATATGGCAAGCATCAAGCACCTACTTCTTAATTTCTTCCTCTTCACCTTTTCTTAAAATTATAACATCTTCAATTAGTTTGAAGTTCTCTATTCTCCATCTATAATCCATTTTTATTCTAATTGTGGAGAAAATCATTAAAAACAGATTAGATATTACCCAGATGTCTTCATTATCTTTTCCAGTTTCTCTGAAAATTAAATTGCTGCTTGAGAGACTTAGTGTGCATGAATTACTATGGAAGCACCACATCTTCTCTCACACTGTTCTCCAGTGCAGGCAACAGTTACCTAGGGTTTTCACAGCCGTTCCGGTCAGGCAGCAGGAGACTAATTGGATTTCTTCAAGGTCACAGGGTTTGGCTGACAAAGACTTTGCTATATAATCCATTCCCTCCCCAATGTCAGACAAGTGGGTCAAACGAAGTAAACACATATTCTTCAGGTCTGTCAGACCTTCAGCTGCAAATAGATGGAAAGGAAATGCGTTAGGATACCAAGTTAATTTGATTTCACCATAGATGAATGGCTGAAAAGAAGGCAATGAACAATTGCCCTTGCCATACTCTTCCTGTAAAAAGCCAAAGAGAGCAGATTTTCTTTCAACTCTCACTTTCCAGTCTCCTGAGCCATACAATCTCTTTTGTGGAGGTCATTCTCTTGGTAGTATGAGAAAACCTATAGTAAATGTGCAGTATTTTTTTTTATTTTTTATTTTAAATGTGCAGTATTTTAATGGGTATCCATGTATGGGTATCCAAGTATACCACAACTTTTTTCATAGAAATAGGTTTTCTGAGTGAGCACTGTCTCTTTAAACCCTTCAAAAATCTTAGAAGGGGTGGAGGCTGAATCCAAAGGGCAGCATGGGGACTTGAGTTCCTTGGTGTGCTTCTATGATAACTGTTCACAGGGCCCTGCTAGGACTGCATGATTTGGGGCCTTCCTGGTGCTCCACAATGAAGACCACATCCAATGCAGCATGTTAACCGGGAGAAAGATTGATCTCCTATCAGTAGTACAAGTGAAAACGTTCTAAAATGTCCCTGGATTGATTAGGCATCCCTTTGTGTCATTAAAATAGTGCTTTATCTTGATGGTATTCTAACCTAGAGGAAAGACATGTACTGTTTTTAATAACTACCTTGCAGAGCTTTGGGAAGGTGGCGGATAAGGTATGTAATGTATTTAGTGTGGTGCCTGGCACATAGAAGGTGAATATTAATTGTTGTCTTGGGAGTACACGTAGCTCAGAGGTTGTGAGCATGAGCTTTGCAGTCAGTTTGGTTCCTGGATCCTGTACTTAATAATTGTGTGAGTGTAAGCAAGTTATTCAACCTTTTAGCTATGGTTTTAGGGATAATTATACCTATGTACTAGGACTATTGTGAGGAGTCAATGAGAAGTATGTCAAAGTGCCTGGTGTGCTTTCTGTCTAACCGATTGCACAGTAACTCTTCAATGAATAGTACATTTAGGCTCGTTTATTCACGTCCAGACTCTGATTCCTTAACAGTAGAATCAGATTGTCTCAGGTAGGTGTTTTTGCGCCCTTTCTACCAATTGGTGAGAACTTGGGCAAGTCAGTAAACTGTTCTAGGTTCCAGTGGCAGTAAAATAGGAAAGTTAGCCCCACCAGTGTGACTCAGTGGTTGAGCATCCACCCATGAACCAGGAGGTCACAGTTTGATTCCCAGTCAGGGCACGTGCCCGGGTTGCAGGCATGGTCTCCAGGAGAGGGTGTGCAGGAGGCAGCCGATCAATTACTCTCTCTCATCACTGATGTTACTCTCTCTCTCCCTCTCCCTTCCTCTCTCTGAAATCAATAATAACATTTAAAATTTTAAAAAAATTAGACTAGATGTTCTCAGGCTCCTTCAACCTCTGATATTCTGTGTAACTCACAGGCATGCAGTAAATGTTCACTGAATTAATTTGATTATTCTTATGGAAGCTATATAATGAAAAAAAGTCAGTCATGTTTTAATTATAGGGTTGTCTTTAGGCAAGCAGAATGAAAAAGAAAAGGCTGAGGAGTCTTTAACTGAGGTCTCAAGTGTGGGGGGAAGAACCAATAAAAGAAAAAAATGACCACCCCCACCAAAGCTGTTGAAAAACAGCTTCAACAGGAAACCTCCCTGTCCTAGAAGGCAGATCACGTGTTCTGCTTGTGTTTTTTCTTGATCCACATTCATTGTTGTGTTCCATTCTACTTTTTAAGTTTTATTTAATTATAAAACCACTGTATAATCCTTTTAATATTGTTTATTTGCTTTAAATACAAATATAGCCAATGATTTCTGAAGCTTTACTTAATTATAAAACCACAGTTTAAACATTTACATTGTTTCTATGCTTTAAATGCAAGCAAAGTCAATCAACCAGGAAGATAAAACATATCATGGCTTCTGTTCTCCAAAGGGTTACCATCTAGTGCTGTACAATTTACATAAAATGGTGCTATAGGGGTGGAGAAAAATGTCTCGGAAAACCGATGCAATCACAAATGCATAAGGCATCCTTGCCTTGTGTAGACTGAGTTAACTGTTCTTATTCTCAAACTTACATTAATAAAAAAAAGAGAAAAACTCTAACCTAGTTTTATAGCATCTTCCTCATTCATCTTAATGTTATCCAGCATAAGCTTCATAAGATTCTTCAAATTACCCAAGCTGTCAGTCAGACCACCTGCCAAAAGAAAATGGACTTTGTTCAGCTGTCATTTATTAATTTCCATTACCAATGAAGATTTTCGTTGTTACCATAGGCAAGAGATGCTCATGAAATTGACACCAAAGTGTATGGTTTTTGGTCAGAAATGGGCATCATCTTTAGCTAAAAGCATGTTCTCCAAATATAATGCAACTGGACTTAAACTTACTATTTAAGAAAGTAAAGAAAGAAGACCAAAATAAACCCAATGCAAGTAGAAGGGAGAAATTAATAAAGATCAAGGCAGAAATAAATAAAAATTGAAAGCAGATAAACAGTAGGAAAAATCAGTGAAAATGTATTTGAAAAGATCAATAAAATTGAGCAATTTCTGGCAAGACTGACAGGAAAAGAAGAAAAGCAAATCACCAATATCAGAAACAAAAGAGAAGATATCACTACAAAGACTGCAGATGTTAAAAGGATAGAGAATAATATAAATAAATCTACACACATGAATTTGACAACACAGGTAAAATTGCCCCATTTCTTGAAAAGCACAAACTACTACAACTCACCCAACACGACATAGGTAACCTGAATAGTCCTATAAATCTATTAACATAGTTTACATTTTTTTAAAAAGAGAAATCTACAGGTCCAGATAATTTAACTTGCAAATTTTACCAAACATTCAAAGAAGAAATAAACCAATTCTATAAATCACTTCTAGAAAACAGAAGTAGAGGGAACAATTCCCAACATATTTTATGAAGCTCCACTGGCTAATATGAAACCCAGATGAAGAAAATAAAACAAAAGAAATTTTCAGACCAATATCACTCATGAGAATAGAAGCAAAAATCTTCAATAAAATGGACTTCATACAGAGAATGCAGAGCTATTTCAACATTTGGAAAATAATCCATGTAATTCACTATAACAGTCTAAAGAAGAAAAACTACATGATCATATAAATTGATGCAGAAAAAATATTTGACACAATCCAACATCCATTCATGATAAAAATTCTCAGCAACCTAGGAATAGAAGGAAATGTCCTCAACCTGATAAAAGCCATCTACAGAAAAAAACTACAATTAACATCGTGCTTAACGGTGAAAGTCTGAATGCTTTCACCCTAAGGTCAGGAACAAGGCAGGATGTTCCCTCTCAATTCTCATATTCAGTATTGCACTGCAAGTCATAATCAGTGCAATAAGGCAAAAAAATTAAATAAAAGGAATACAAATTTTAAAGAAGGAACAAAACTGTTCTTTTTTTGAAGGTAACATGATTGTTTGATAAAAAATTTCAAGGAATCTACCAAAACAAGAAAACAAACAAAGAAACCTCCTAGAACTAATAAAAGTGTTTAGCAAAGATATAGACTACAAGGTCAACACACAAAAATCAATCTTACTTCCATATAGTAGCAATAAATAACTGGCAACCAAATTATTTTTAAAATACCACTTACAATAACTCCAAGCAAATGAAAAAGTTAAATACAGGTATAAAACATGTACAGGATCAACATGATGAAAACTACAAAATGATGCTAGCCCTAGCCAGTTTGGCTCAGTGAATAGAGCATCGACCTGAGGACTGAAAGATCCCGGGTTCCATTCTGGTCAAGGGCACATGCCCAGGTTGTGGGCTCGATCCCCAGTACAGGGCGTGCAGGAGGCAGCCAGTCAATGATTCTCTCTCATCATTGATGTTTCTATCTCTCTCTCCCTCTCCCTTCTTCTCTGAAATCAATAAAAATATTAAAACAAAACAAAATGATGCTAAAAGAAATCAAAGAAAATATAAATAAATGGGAAGAGAAACCATGCAAATAGATTGAAAGATTCAACATAATATAAATGTCAGTTCTCCCTAACTTGGTCTATAAATTTAATGTAATTTCAACCAAGATCCCAGGAGGAGTTTTTGGTGATATAATCAATGTAAGTCTAAATTTACATGGAAAGGCAAAGGAACTAGAATATAAAAAAGACTTTTGAGAAAGAAGAATAAAGTTGAATAACACCGAGACATGACACCAAAAGCATGATTCACAAAAGAAGAAAGACTGCAACAAAATTTAAGACTTTTGTTCTATGAAAAACACTGTTAAGAGAATGAAAAGACTAGCTATTCAGGAATAAAAGGGCGTGAGCTAGGAAGATTCTGAAAAGACTTAGAGGGCAAAAGTAAAAACCAACCTTGGGTATAAACAACAGTGAAGTGATTTTAGCCATAAGAAAGAATAAGCACTGATCACAAACTCAAATGTCAAAAGCGGGGAAGGATGTCAAAAAGGGCCAGGGAGCCCTAACTGGTTTAGCTCAGTGGATAGAGGGTTGGCCTGCAGACTGAAGGGTCCCAGGTTCGATTCCAGTCAAGGGTATGTACCTTGGTTGCGGGCATCCCCAGTAGGGAGTGTGCAGGAGGCAGCTGACCGATGTTTCTCTCTCATCGATGTTTCTAACTCTCTATCCCTCTCCCTTCCTCTCTGTAAAATATCAATAAAATATATTTTTAAAAAGTGCCAGGGAAGTAGAATAGGTGGACTCTGTGCCCAACTGGAGATTTTGTGTCTTGTCCGAAGAGCACAGGAGCAGATCTTAGGCTCTAACAAGTTGTTACCAAATGAGGACATGGGCCCTCAGTTGTCAAATCCAACAATTTTTAAGAGAAATGAAAAACCTGTATTTTCACATGATAGCTCCCAATTTCAAAATGCTGGCAACTCCTTTAGAAAGAAGAGTCATGGCTGGGGGATGAGGAGGAGAAGGAGACTTTTCACTCTAGATTGTTTTATCATTTGGACCGTGTGAATATATTACTCAAAAACTGGATTTTAAAAATTAAGAACAAAACATGAAAAAGAACATTCTAAACACTGTGCAGGCCAGTCCAGCCCATAGGCGACCAGTGTGCATGATCATTACAAAGGAGGAGCCATGAAGAGGAGAGCATGAGCCTCCTGACACAGAAGGGAGTCTAATAACCTCTGGGTGACTCTCTAGAATCTTATAGAAGGCATTCCTGCATCGAGTAGGAGGTTGCAAAAATTAGTTGTGCAAAGATTCTAGATTCTTAAATCATAGCAAATCTCCTCTGCAGGTGACAAGTGAGGCGGAGCACAATGGGCCATCACTTGTGAATGAAAACTGATCTTAGATGACAGTCAAGTAGGGCAAGGCCCCTGCCACAGCTTCACACCAGGCAGCAGCCCTGCTCCTGGCCATAGGGCGGATCTGCACAGCGAGGCCAGACACTCATCTTTAGTGTTACTTGGAATTTGGGGAAAACTCTCCTTTGCCCCAAAAGATTGCCCCTGCATGTGTGTGTCTGGAGCCTGAAATTCATGGTAAACAAAATCTGTTCCCCAAATCTTTTTTCAAAATGAACAATACTTGGGGTGGAGATGGGGCTGGGTTTGTTGTGCAATTTCCTAGATAAGAATCTAGTGACACAATTAGCCACTGGCGCCTGCGGGTGATTAGTTTACAGGCTGGATTTCCTCCCAGACTTGCTGTGGGGAGGGGAGCCCCTGGCAGGGAAGCAGTGGATGCCGGGTGGAGATGGAGGTGCTGAGAAGGGGGGGAATTCACTCAAGCCAAGCTTACCCTCTGTACATGGAGGGGGAGGGAGAGCAGGGAAGTAGGTTTACAGTTGTGAGTACATGAAACACAGAGTACACACACACATACACACACACACACATGTAAACACACACTTTGCTATATAAACTATATAGCCATTCAATCAAACTACCGAGCAGGGAAGTAGGTTTACAGTTGTGAGTACATGAAATACAGTACACACACGCAAACACACACTTTGCTATATAAACTATATAGCTATTCAATCAAACTACTAGTATATAGCTTCAGCCCTGGAAATCCTCCCTAGGGCCTCCCAACCTGACAGCCTTCCTCCCACCTCCTCTCCAAACTCCCTAGGGCCTCCCAACCTGACAGCCTTCCTCCCACACAGATCCTCCTCCAGTCCTCCCACCTCCTCTCCAAGTCCTGGCACCTGGGAGAAGATAGTAGAAAATGTAAAGCAAAACAATATGCTGCCTAATATTCGCATGGTACTTAGCCAGGTTCCATTACGGCTTCAACTGCTGAGGTTGACAATACCTGGCAGCCGCTGAGTCTGTAGGTTGTGAATACTCAAGGTTTTCAGGTTTGCCACGGATGTGATGTGCTGCTCGTCCTCTATGGTGAGGGGACTGGCTTCCACCACGAGGGAATGAATGTGCTTACAGGTGCTGAGGACCAAACTGAGGCTTCCAGCCACACCAGCACACCTCTTAATGGACAGCCGGAGGCTTGTAGCAGAGCTGAATATCTTCCCCAGATATTTGATATCTTGCTTATTCAACTTGCTGAAATCCCGGAGTGTGACCTCCAGAGTCTTGAACTCCTGCTTCCAGTTGAAGAACAAAGACACAGCCCTGCTGGGAATGTAGGTACCAGAGGACTCTTCCTTGTGGGTCCTGCTCGTGCCCTCTGTGGGCTTGTCCCACGAAGCTGTGGCTCCCCCGTAGAAGTCCAGTTTGATGAAGTCCAGAGCACTTGCACAATTAGGCAAGTGCTCAAAGAAGTCAAATAAGTAATCAGGGATGTTCTCTGAGTTGATATATAAGCTTTTACCACGAAAGAAAGCTTCAAATTCTTCACTCAGGTCTGCCTTGGATATACTCTCATGAAATAAATTGATGCCACACTCTGTAAAGGAACTGGTGTTTATGGCTTCCAGAATTTCTTGCACAGTAGTGCTTTTCACATTTTGCATAGATTCCTGCCTCCAGAGAGGCCTCTTGGTGATGGAGAAGCTGGGGAGGCTGCCATGTTGACACACGGCTGCCAGGTGTTTCAGGACAGTCCTGGTGGCTTCGGTAGACGATCCGCACGTGTACAGGAGCAGGTTGCTGTACTTGGATGTAATATCTGAAATGGAAACCATTTTCTGCAGATGACCGTTCCCCTTGGTCACCTCCTCGGGCTCCCGAGATGCCAATAAACTGCTGAGTCGGCGGCCTGCTATGTACTCCTGGAATGACTGATGAAAGAATTTATACTTTGGCTTGAACCGCTGAGCCGTGTATTTGCAGAGGAGGCCAGTTGTCAGGAGGACATCCTCGTTCACACTGCACACATCCTTTGATTCGAAATCAAACCTGTGGTTGAACACGCCCTCCAGAGCCAGGTCTCCACAGTGGTCCAGGCTCTGAGTGAGGTCACTAGCGGCCACCCCTCTATGTTTGTGCTTGTTTTTCTGTATCAGCAGGTCATAGAAGGTACAGAACAGCGTTGTTTGTGTGTGGGAGTGGAACTCACTTTCCCCCATCTGGATTGCACAAGTGATGACCACAAAGAGTGGGGTCTTCATCAGATTCCGCAGGCACCTGGACTTCTGAATTTGCAGCACCAAGCTCTCTGCATGCTCCCTGATCAGCACTTCCCGGATGAGAGCCTGTGCACTCTCCTCCGTCATATCCCCCACCTCGGCAGTCAGGGCCCCGAACTGCCTGATGTGCTTCAGGCTCTCGGTGGTGGTGGTGACCATGACCATATTCTTGAAGCGATGGTTTTCCTTTATCAGGGCTTCGATTTCCGGGCAGTTCTGGGCCTTGAACTCGTTGTAGCCATCCAGGAGAAAAAGGACCCTCTGCCGGAGCTTCAGCAGCATGGCCATGAAAGTCTGCTTTCTGATCGGGTCGGGTACATCCAGGAGTTGGTCACACAAGGTTTCAAAGAGTCCACCGTGGGCCCGGCTCAGACGGAGGAAGAAGACTAATTTGAACTTGGTCAGGGCCCCGCACTTTCCCGAGGCCCAGAGCATGGCGATTCGCTGTAGCAGCGTGGTCTTCCCTTTGCCCGATTCCCCTTCGATGATGCAGGGGCTCTGAAGAGTGTCCAGCAGGCCACTCAAGGTCAGCTGCTCCAGACGGTGATGGCGCTGGTCTTTCCTCCATAGAACAGGTTCCGTGAAGGTGCTTTTCAAATTAAAGATAATGTCAATATCTTCACCCAGGGGATAGAAGTTCAGAAAATATGGGGAATGGTATAAATCTTTTAAATCTTGAGCCAAATCATCTAAGTCTCCATCTGACATCTGATGAAAAAGGCCTATTGGAGAAGAGGTGAAATTAAAGAGGACCCAGTTCTGTGTCTCCCCAAAGCCCAGAGTTCAGGAGAATGGAGGGGGAAGAAGGCTGAGAATCTTCTACTGATGGTTTTAATTCCCTTCCCCAGTTCTCAGCGGGCACAAGGGCTTCCAAATATTTATTCCTGCTTTTCCCTGTCACCCTTTGCCCTTCCTCCCCTCTTGACTTCTGTTTCCTCCTTCCCACCACCAACTCTTGTAGCAGCTGATTGGAAATGGGAGGAGTCTGTGTTTGGGTTAAGAAAAGTGCCTGAGAACAGTGGGAAGATGGCTGATCAGGCCTTAACTTTGATTAAAATCTGTCCTGAAGTAATTTACCAGTTTAATGAAATAAAAACTAAATTATTATTTCATGAAAAGCAGAATCATGCTTCTTTAGTTAGTCAGGCTTTCTTTACCACGGTGCTTGGATCATGGGCTGGCGGAAACCACTACTGCATGGACTTCTTAGGTGCCTCCATGGTCCAATTTGGTTTTGAAGTGAGGCTATTCTAAATCAGCTATTCCCTGAGCCTGGAGTCACCTATTGGCTTCACCGTCAAGCGATCTAATGGGAGTTTTTTCTGAGAGTGCCTGAGCTTTTCCCTACCATGGACACCACCCAGTGATATGAAGAGGGAGGAGAGCAGAGGCTCTGTCAGGGGATCACAGGTCTTCACCATGGCTTAGTCTATTTGTGGAAGATACAAAGCAATCTGATACTTACTTTGTCCATTCAAGTCCTGAAACAGAGGATAGTTCCACTTTTCAAGGGATTTAAGAAAGAGGTTACAGGCTTCGGAACCCTTCTTCAAAAGCATGTGAATGATCCCTCTGGCAGCATCCTGCTCAACCTTCTCGCAGCAAATGATGTTTACTTCTTCAAAATTCAGAACATTCCACACAAAGAGCTCGTCCACAACCTGCTTTATAACAGTCATTCCCATTCTTTGAATGAGGGCTTGACTGTTCTCCTTAATGAAATTCACTGAGGAGATGGGGAAATATATACGTATTTATTCACTTGTATAAAATATGAATGCAATGTTGCCAGAGCATTAGGGTCATGATCTCCCCCCCACACACACACACCTTAGACTCATCTTGAGTTATGGAGATGGCAAATGCTTGAATTCCAGGCCCTGAAGAAAAGCCCTGAAAAGCTCCTTATCCCTAACCCCTTGGTGAGCAAGATAGTGTTTCTTTGGTAATAAAGTAAGATGAGCAGTTTTATTCCCCAGTATAAAATGGTCCCCAGTAAAATCACAATGGGCATTAGAGGAAGGAGACTGGCCTAGGTCTGCCACTTGCTACTCTCTGTGGAACCTTGCCAAGTTGCTAAACCTCTCTGAGCCTGTTTCAGTGCTGTGCTGCTAAATGTTGAACACCCTCGCTCTCTGGGTTAGGTAAAGGCCCTCATTGGTAGCATTTACCAATCTCCACGTTATAAATATTCCCACCATAGTCGATTTCAAGCTAATAATGTATATTAACTGGGTAACAAAAGTCATGAAAATTCAGCAACAAGGTCTCACAAAACAGTAAGAACCAGCTCCAGTACACCACTAGTTCCTTTTCTGTACAATGGTGTTGAGAACACTGTTCAGCTTACAAAGGTGTTATGAGAATTCATGTATAGTATCTTATCTTAATATATAAAGAGGTAATATGCAAATTAGGCCAGGACGCCTTAAAGCAGCGGTTCTCAACCTGTGAGTCGCGACCCCTTTGGCAGTAGAACAACCCTTTCACAGGGGTCGCCTAAGACCATCCTGCATATCAGATATTTACATTACTATTCATAACAGTAGCAACATTACAGTTATGAAGTAGCAACGAAAATAATTTTATGGTTGGGTCACAACATGAGGAACTATATTTAAAGGGCCAGAAGGTTGAGAACCACTGCCTTAAAGGGACTACCAGACAGGAGGAGGTTGCGCAGGCAGGTGAGGCCTGAAGCTGAGATGGAGCAGGGGAGAGGGGGTGTCTGAGCCAGCGCGGCAGCTCCAGCATCTGGAGTGGACACAGGCAGGGGGGGCCTGGGGCAGAAGTCAGGCTGGGCTGGCCTCCTGCTGCGTCGGTCAGGCCTGACTCCCTCAACCTCCCTCAACAGCCCGTGGGGTGCCTCCTCGTGCACTGGGCCTCTAGTACAAAATAATAGCTCAATACCTGGTAGCCACTATTTTTAGGCATTATTCAGCTGTCATCACTCAAAGGAGTAGCATTTTTTATCTGCCAAAGATTTTGGTCTTTGCTCTCCAGCGTAAGCACTCTTACCTCTAGTAGTCCCTGGAGAAGCTATGCCATTTCTGTCAAATGCCGACCACACTGTACCCAGGCAGTCCATGACAGCTCGGTGAAATGTCTCCCTGATTTTTTACTCGTAGACACTATCTGCACCAGTTTTCTTCCTGGGCTAGGCTGCTCCTGGTTTTCAAACCTTCATGGATCCATCCAAGCAGATAGGCTCCTCCCGAAGGACCTGTGGCTTCTCTGGTCTCAGATGCACCATCAGGCACTCCGACCTTGAGGATCCCACCCCAACTTGCCTTTCTCTCTGTCACAAATCTCTACTACTAACTTCGGCTGGGATGTTACCACATCCCTGTCTATATGTCCTGTTTGCCAGTCTCATCTCTGGGTTCTCATCTGTTCTCTGGCTTCTACATTCTCTGTATGGAAATGACCTCTAAGTCTGAATCTAGTCACAATCTTCACTTTACAGCTGAAGAAATGTTGCCTCAGAAAGGCCTAGAGTCCTCCACAAGGTTACAAGACTAGTCTTTTGGGGTTTTGTGTGTGTGTGTGTGTGTGTGTGTGTGTGTGTGTGTGTTTTGTTTAAATATATTTTTTTTCTTTTCTTTTTTTAAATATATATTTTTATTGATTTCAGGGAGGAATGGAGAGGAACAGAGAGACAGAAACATCAATGATTGATCGGCTGCCTCCTGCCCCCCACATTGGGGACCGAGCCCGCAACCCAGGCATGTGCCCTTGACTCGAATCGATGGGACCCTTCAGTCTGCAAGCTGATGCTTTATCCACTGAGCAAAACCAGCTAGGGCTATATATATTTTTCTTGATTTCAGAGAGGAAAGGAGAGAGAGAGAGATAGAAACAGCAATGATGACAGAGAATTTTGTATTGGCTGCCTCCTGCACACCCTACACTGGGGACCGAGCCCGCAATCTGGGAATGTGCCCTGACCAGGAATCGAACCCATGACCTCCTCCTGGTTCATAGGTTGATGCTCAACCACTAAGCCACACCAGTGGGGCAAGACTAGTCTTTTGGATGCTACTTTTCTTCAGCTGTAAAATTAAGACATTGACTTTAATTATTAAAAAGACTCATGCAAAAGACTGAATAAAGTCACATACATTAAAATGTTTTAAAATTTGAAAAGTATACTGCTATATAACTATCAGATGTTCTTATTAATAACCATGGTATATATTCCTGTGTACTACTATACCCTCTCTTATCAAGTAGTTATGTGAAAACAATGCTGCTTATTCACTCATTCTTTCATTCATTCAGTATTCATTCTTATCAGAATATCTCTGTTTCTAGACCAGCACGGTACAGGAGAATTTTCTACGATGATAAACATGTTCTATATTTCTGCTGTCCAATAGAGTAACCATTAGCCACCTGTGGCTATTGAGCATTTGAAATGTGGCTATTGTGCTCATGCAACTGAATTTTACATTTTATTTATTTAAATTCACATTTAAATAGACATGTGGCTAGTGGCCACTGCATTGGATAGCACAGGTCTATACCCAGTACTCAAAATGGAAAGAGTTGCCCGACTGGCATAGCTCAGTAGTTGAGCATCAACCTGTGAGCCAGGGGATCACGGTTTGATTCCTGGTCAGGGCACATATCTGGGTTGTGGGCGCAATTCCCCATAGGGGGTGTGCAGAAGACAGCCAACTGGTGATTCTCTCTCATCATTGATGTTTCTCTCTCTCTTCCTCTCCCTTCCTCTCTGAAATATAT